CAACACTGTACAATCGCTTCTGTCGTCACTGTAGATCCTGCTTGATACACTTGATGATGCTCGTTGGTAGTACCTCAGTCATAGCCCACAAACCTTTTGGAAAGAGGGAGAGGTGAAATACAGCAGCGGCGTAGAAGGAGATTTTGTAGAGTTGAGATGGATCCCAGGCTACAGGAATGCCATGCAGCATGCAGTTTCAGGGAGGTTAGGGCTGGAAAACTTGGGTTCAAGTCATTTCCAGAAACGTAGTCTAATTGCTAACCCAGATGCCCTTCCGCCCATGATTCGTGATCCTCCCTGACCTGCATTTACAACCATTAATCCTTAAAGCTCTTTTAAAAGTCTCAGCCTATTCAACTCAAGCCTGTCATCGAACTCATGAGCGATTTCGGATAATATGGTGGGCAGGGGTGGGGGGGGGGGGGCGTGTAGGAACCAATAAAGCATTCTCCTTGCTGTTCTTGTTCTTTTTTTTCTACGGAGTTTTTTTCAGCCAGTTGCCAGCTATCCAGATCCATTCTTCGGAGGCAATCATAAGCTCGTACTATGCGAAACACTGGATCCCCAGAAGAAACCAACAAGTTAGTTGAGATTATTTACTCTTAGACCGAGCCTCATCCATGTGCTTCGCAAAGAGCCTTACTTCTTGTTTACAAAGAGTACTGTGATTTTCCTAACTGAACGTAGCGGTGGTTTTTTTTCAGACGGCACGAAAAAAGTGTGCAGCTCTTGAGCATCCTTCTCTCTGTGGAGCGAAGGCAGAAGGGAGGGAGAACGAAAATATATGACCAGTGCTTCGGCAGGGTTATAGTTAGCGACAGTGGCAGTCGTGCTATGCAGGCCACTAAGAACCCCCTCCTTCAATCGACGGAATAAAGCTCTCCTCGCTGGGATCTTCAACGTACAACGCGCCCTGACTAGCACAGCTGATCTTACTTGTTGCAATCTCTTTTCTGCCTTTCGTGTTATTACACACTGCTACTGCGTCTGTTTTCTTACGGTGGAACGAACGTGCAGAAATCAAATTGAGCTCTTCTGTTCAAATGATGGAGAAACCGTTGAAAAACCTGCTTCTGGACGAATTCGCGGCGTGGGTACCAAAGGTCGTTCTGAGCAGGGCTTCTTCAAACCAGCAGCTGACGTGAAAGCACGCGACATCCAGTTAAAGAGATGGGCGCGACCACAAGCTGCTCCAGATAGGACTCCTGTGCAATAACTGGCAACGTGACAGAATGTAAAACCTAGTTCGAAAAAATAGGGTGTGGCCTAAAATTATGGCAGTGTGAAACACCTAATTTTAGAAGTGGGTGTGGCGAGAAACCGCTCCAGGTAAACCGAGTATGAACGAGCTAACAACACGCTACTATGGAACACCTAGTTTCAAAAACCGGGCGTGGCCAACGGTCGCTTCAAGTACATAGGACGCGAAATCAGCCAGTATCGTGGAAGCATCTGATGCTTCGAGGACTATTTGGCTTTGTACCCGTTGAGAGCACTTTGAACCGATTCGTACCCCCCCCCCGAAGAGGCATTAAATATCTTCCATTCTACGAACAGTTGAATATTCATTGGGAGTACCGTCAAGTCACCATAATCTACAGTGGGTGAAACACCAGATGGGCTGTTCAGTTCACATAAAAAAGTAGATAGGCACTCCAGTTCACATGAAGAAGAATCCGTTGAAAAATCTGAAGTCTAGAAAAGCTTGTGATGTGAGATGTGGCCAGAAACCGTCCCAAATAGAACGTATTCGGACCAGTTGTGACCGAGTAATAGTAGTAATAGTAAGTACGCGACCCAATTTGGCAAAGGAGCGTGACCATAAACCGCTTGAGGTGGACTGCTTATGAGCGAACTAGCAACGTGGCAGTGTGCAAAACCTAGTTTGCGAAATAGGGTGTGGCCAAAAACTGTTCCAGGTAGAACGGCTAACTGGAGCGCTTTACGCCCTATCTCTCGAGGGTCCTATGGGGTATGGCTCTGATCCCGAGACCAATGAAAAGAAATCCTTCAACCAACTAACTGCATGAGGATTGCCTATGTATGGGTTATGGGGACACAGTTTCACCAATTTATCCAGATTTCTGCGGAGAACCGATAGCGACTTCCATTCACTGGGTGAGAGTTGAAATTGGATTTAATTTGCTTCAATTTTTTTCAGAAACGAATCATCGAAGCGCATGCGCTGAAGTGATGAAAAAGATCGACCATATGAATCCATGGTTTGGTATGGAGCAAGAATACCTACTTCTCGATAGGGACGGATATCCCCTTGGATGGCCAAAACACGGTTACCCAGCCCCACAAGGTTGGTTAAGCTCCGTCTCTATTGGGTTGTCAACAGGTTATATTAGCATATTGTCGGCAATATGACATCTTACGCACATTCAGGACCCTACTACTGTGGTGTTGGAGCGAATAAGGTGTTTGGAAGGGAAGTTGTGAATGCTCATTACCGCGCATGTCTTCATGCTGGATTGAGGCTCTTCGGAATCAATGCTGGTATGTGGTTTAGGCTCCTTCGTTTAGATATCGATGAGTGTCAGTCAGGAGATCCGTGTTGTGACGGTGCACATCGATTAGGTTGCGTGCCTGCGGCAGCGATGATTCGTCTGTGCTGCGTCTTTAAAGGCAGTTGGCACGATAAATCGCTATACAGGTGTAGGATTTGTACAACTGGCTTAACAGAATTCCGTGACCTCGGACAGGCGCTGCGTGAAGCCTTTTCCAAGGAGGGTACCTCTATAACGCCCTATTGAGCAACAACTTTACGTCCCAAACGCCTTCCTTGCCCGCCCGCCCACAAACGGACGACCGTTTCTGACGCTCGTATTCATTCATTTGCTGAGCAAATTATAAAGCAAAGGGATTGGTATGAAGCGGCGGTGATGCTGCATGCATATACGGGTACACATATGCATCCGTACCTTCGGTAGCGGTGATTGGCAAGATGCGTACGGGAAACTCGTCCGAAATCGATTTACAAGTCACTGAGAACGGAGGCTTTTTCTTCGCCGGATTTTGACCGTTTCACTCCGTTCTTTCGCCATTTCCCCACTATACAGCGCCCTACTAGCATTTTAGGCTAAGTAGGAAACCATCGTGCCAACTGCCTTTAATGCATTTGGCGGTCGCGCGACGCCGCTTCAACGTCTTTTTCGCCGCGCTGCCGAAACTTTGGTCCCCTAACCCGCACCCAATGTTTTCACGTTCTGACCTGGGAACCAAATTCCTTCATGTCGTATAACTCTGTAAATTTTCGAAGAGATCCGATGGAGGGGGGGGGGTGGGGAAAAGAGAGGGAGGCGCTCCGTTCACTTTTCAATGACTTTTCGCTAGACTCTAAATCGGGTCAGGATATTATCAGCAGATTTCCCCTGCCAAGCCACCTGAAATGTAAGCCTGGGCTAATGGAGGAGAACACTTAGTGTCCCCAGCATTGCAGTAATCTCACCTATGACGTCTTTGGAAAGTAGTCCGCGCTTTTTATCAGTGGCTACAGCAGCCTGCGAGACACCATCTCTTCCTAGTTAAATGCTGACTTTCAGAAGTGACGCCGGGCCAATGGGAGTTCCAACTGGGTAACTGTGAAGGCATCTCCATGGGCGATGAGTTGTGGATGGCTCGCTACCTTCTTCATCGAGTAGCTGAACAATTCGGAGTCAGCGTGACATTCCATCCCAAACCAGCGGTTGGTGATTTTCTGCACTTCTACAGTAGAAATAAGTGAAATCATCAATGAGGAAGATAACTCTTCTTCGTTAAGTCCTTTTCACGTAGCCTTAGAAGTCTTCATGCTTCGCGATCTAATTGGTTATCGCTCATGCGATCCGATCGCGCGATCCAAACAATTGGATCGCAAAGTATGAACGCGAGCATAGTTAGCCCTCAATAATTAGTTGCTTACGATATTAGTCAGACTCCGTAGTTCGCCATGTATCTGAGTGCACGACTCAGTGATCGCGCGTTATGCACTAGATAGCGCGAGGGCGCTAATCGCTGGACTACCGTAGTAGTGCGAAGCAGTCCTATCTTACATTAGTTGCAGCTGAAGTGGTGGTTCCGGCCTAATGTCCTATTCTGAGTATCAATTTGCACGAACACTTGTCTGTAAGATGCAGTGCGAAATTTTGAAGTGAAATTGATATTCAAATCGTTCCACCAATAATTTCAGGTGACGATGGGTGACTGGAACGGAGCTGGCTGCCATTGCAACTTCTCAACCGATGAAATGCGTGCTGAGGGTGGACTAGCTAAAATTGAGGCCGTGAAGTTTTCATAGTTCTCTTGGCGGAATGGGGGTCATCTTGATGCCTCCCTCTGATCATCATCGATGCCTCCCGTGAAGACCTGCCGTATCTCGTGAAGCTATACAACACCACAAGTTTGGATCATAGTTGAGAAGATCCTACAGGTCCCACCGAGGTGTGACGTGTAAATTACCAGGAACTGACAAAAGGTAGTAGAAAATGTGCCAAATGCCCTCCCGGGCCGGAACAGAGCCGTTTTTTTTCTGGATCCTTCCCAGATCGCTCATCATCTTCTTCGATCGCTGTTTCCTCTACAACTTCCTCATTTTCCTCATAGAATGCTTACCTTCAGGCAATGCCGAAACTGGCGGCTACTCACAAAGAAGCCATAAGTGTTTACGACCCTCATGGTGGAGAAGACAACAAGCACAGGTACGCCTTGACGCTCTCACTCAGGCATTGCTTCTTGGGCGAGTTTTGGAGCCCCAGAGTTCCCACACGCTTTTTTCAAATACATTTGAAATGCCTAACAAGGAGATTTGCAGGCTGACAGGTAGGCATGAGACCAGTTCTTTCGATAAGTTCTCTTGGGGAGTTGCCAACAGAGCAGCGTCGGTGAGAATTCCCAGAGGTGTGGCACAGGAAGGCAAGGTGGGCGAAGCATCGTCTTATGAAATACAATTGTAAGGCTTTCTATCCAACCAGCCAGCTGATTTCGAATTTTCAGGGCTATTTGGAAGATAGGCGTCCATCGTCAAACTGTGACCCGTACCAAGTGACTAGAATAATTGCAGAAAGCATTTATCTGAGATGAAATGGTTTACTTCTTATGTGATAGACGTTGCAGGGTTTGAATTGGCTGTCATGTTGTATTACTAACCGGTTCTGTTTTTGTTTCGGTTCGTTTTCGTTTTCTAGTCAACTTTCGTTTGAACGAGGTATCGAGAGGGTTTCGACAGCAATAAGAGGGGACACACGATGAGAATATCTAGTTTCAACATTCGTTGAATTCTCCTAAGTTCCTAGTTAGGACCTTATGTCGTCGTAGTAGTGACCAATTCAAGCTCGAATTGCAACGTTCATTTCTCGCCTTCTACACTGTTACCGGTTTTACTTAGATTCTAATGCATGCTTCTTTACATTTGTAGGAGAAATTGCAAAAGGGATCCAAGATCGCTGCAGTTTCTCCAATAAAGTTTCATTCTCATCTCGATGTGTTCAGGCAAGCACACAGGCTGGAGCAGGAGGTTGGTCAGGGGAGATTGCGGGAGAGAAGTCTTTCGTACCTCCCAGCAATGTAAGAGGAAATCCCGCTAAGGCACTTTCTGTAATTTGGAATTTTTGTGAAATACGATCGCCCCTTTTTTACCCTCCTCCGCCTAATTTCCTCTTCTGGTTCGACTCTCCTTCCCTATCCTACCTGGAGTCTTACTGACCTTTCCCAACTTCTTACCTCTTTTCCCCACTTTTCTCCGAAAAACTGCGGTCGAGTGAGCACGGCAGGAGACGAAGAACTACAGAGTTCAGCTGTCGAAAATAGCAGGTGTGTAGGACCATGACTGCTCCACCAAGGCATATGTGAGCACAGCCAGATAGAAACTTCCTTATGCACCGAAGAATTTCCTCAAGGGCAGAAACGACCTTCCCTTCCCCCCGCGGATGACACGTGTGAAACAGGGAAAACAAAGTGTCAAGAAAATATCCTCAGTAAGTACATTCCTCGTCCCTGCGCCGACCAAACACGACACCTATTGGGATTCCGCAGTGAACGAAATGCCTTGAACCCCGCCCTTTCGGGGATTCTCTAACGCTGCTATAAATTTAGGGAGAATGGGCGCAATCCCGACCGTGATGCCACAGCTGACACCTTATCTAAGTGTCGGGATGTCTGACCGGCTTAACTTGGCGTAAGTAACGCGAGCGGATTTTTAGCGTCCAGTGTTCTGCCGCCTTCTTTCTCGCGGCTCTCGATACTGACCTCTTCAAGTACGTCCTCGAGCCCTTCATTCAACACTAGGAATGAGTTTCTTCTTGAAGGAACATTTTTCTGTGCCCCGTACGTAGAATGTCTCAACCATGGAAGTGTGCTGCTTCGGAGCTGCACGGTTCGCCATTTCTTTTGTGACTGGATTCTGACTGATTGCGCTTCCTTTATTCTGGCTCCGCCCACGATGTGTAGATATCCGCCCTAAGTCTGTACGATTGTACGATTGTATATTCTTATACAACAGGCTCTCAGGAGGAGTTAGTCCGACGCGATCACTTCGACATTAGCGTTTCATTAGAGCGATGGTACGGTTCACCAAGCTGGAGAACTCGACATCATAGGTAGTACTTTATTGGTACTTGACAGCCTTCAGAGAGTCGCAGTGCAGGCTCAACCTTTTCGTGGTCGCACATAAATATGGGGCAATCATATAGTCTATGAAAGCATGAAAACAGACAAAAAGGCACTGACGTGAGCCATAAAGCAGCTGCTCGCTGAAGCACTTTGAAGGGGAAAGATCAGAGCTGAGCAGCACCTTGCATTTCATATATCTTCGGAAGAGCTTTTCAATGCATATTTTCCAATTGCCATGCACCTATCACAAGGTTGTTGGCTGGAAGCATTGGCGCTCATGTGGTCTTACCGCCTCCACCTTCGCCAATGGTCTTGTGGAAAGACCTCGGGCGAAGTAGAGGCATCTGGTGGGCTAGAGGGTAACTCTCAAACCCTCACTTCTTTTCGCGCCTTGCAGCTGATCTGTACTGACGCTGGAGCATCGAAAAGCGTTCTACCTGAAAATCTCTTGTCAAGTGAAATCGACAATGAGGAGTGTTTGCTGTCGGGTTTCCAGTATGTAGAACGAACAAAGAGCAAACTTTTTCAGTTGAAGTAACTGCCTGTCGGACTAGCAACAACGGAGCGAATCACATGGTGTAAGGGATGGGGATTGTTAGATCGAACAATATTGGGGCAGAGATGAGGCAAAATTTGGTCACCCAATTTCGGAACAAAAAGAATGTACAAGACACATGTACGTCAAAAATCCCTGGTTTAGCATGTGGGTTATAAGCACTGTACGGTACTGTTTCTGCGGATAATGGGCTCTTATCAAGGGGGATGCGTTTGAGCGGCCAGCGGCTTTTATTTGTCTTTCGCCAAGCGACAAAACTGAGTCAAATCGTCCTTATTACTCTTGTTCTGTCTCAGCGGAAAAACTCACCGGCGAGCGCATGCGTTGCGTGTATACTGTCGCCGCACGTACTGTCGCCGCAGCTGAAAAGGGGACTAAAGTCAATGTTGTCCCTCGTCGATGAATGCTTAACAACGGTACGATAAGTGGAAGGCAAAAAGTAACGATTGACGACTGATTAAAGCGCTAGGATGTGGGAAGCAGCTGAAAGGCAATTCTCGAGGATAGACGGTACATTTCTTGAGAGATGTACTGATTTCTGTGATGGTATTGACCGCTTCGCGCTCTGGCCCTGCTGCTCATTGCCCAGTCTTTCGTCGCATCATTGCGGTGCGCGCCACTCCCGACTTTTTCTCGTCCCCGTCTCGCAGACACGTCCCATTGTGCGCAGCGAACAAGTGTGTTAGTGTACTGGTGAGCTGACAATGGGGGACAACACGCATCCTCGACGTTGTATGAGCCTGGGTACCCTTACATGGGAGGGGTTTGAGTGAGATAACATCACTGCTGGAGATGAGGGTGGGCGGATCTGAGCGCTAGGGGAGGGCCGTAGATGGAAAGTCAGCCGTTA